GTTTTTTATTATTAACCAGTAAGATAAGCACCTATCTGGATTGAGATTTCCAGGGACAGTTTCATCCTGTGGAAAGGGCAAGCAGAGAGACCTCCAGCTGGAGTTCTGCAGCTGAACTGAAATGAAAGCTGGCCACCTCTTTTTCTCCGGGGCTAAATGGCAGCCCTTAATAAAAAACACAATAAGACCCCCAGCCTTAAAGTTTAATGCACATTCCTCCCATATTTCCCTTCACACCGGCAGAAACAAAGGTTAGGGGGCTTGAAGAGATCGGTCCAGCCACGAGGCCAACATGCAGGCGATACAGTCCATAATGACCAGCCCTTTGCATATCAACGAAACAATCATCAGCTTGCCAGTACTCCGTCTGCCATTTTGTGACTTTAATGAATTTGTCCCCTCAACTTTTTAAATTAACTTGCAGAGTCATGGTGCGCTGGGCTAAAGTTGTAGACATAGATAACTAGGAGAATATATAGCATCGCTCAGGTGATAGAAATATCAAAGAGGGGAAAGCTGGGGTCTAATTAATTTCTTAGTGGTGGAGAGTGGTAGCTGAGTGAGAAGGGTCCATCACTTGAAGGCATTGAAATGTTTCATGAATAGACTTTCATTTCATACAGTCCATGATGGTAGAGAAACGTAATGCAGATATATATACAGTGCATTCGGAAAGTATTCAGACTACTTGACCTTTTCCACTTTGTTACGTTACAGCTTTATTCTACAATTGATTAAATCGTTTTTTCCCCTCATCAATCTACACACAATACCCCATAATGACAAAGCAAAAACAGGTTTGTATAAATTTTTGCAAATTTATAAAAAAAACAACAACTGAAATATCACATTTACATAAGTATTCAGACCCTTTACTCAGTACTTTGTTGATGCACCTTTGGCAGCGATTACAGCCTCGAGTCTTCTTGGGTATGACGCTACAAGCTTGGCGCACCTGTATTTGGTGAGTTTCTCCCATTCTTCTCTGCAGATCCTCTGAAGCTCTGTCAGGTTGGATGGGGAGCGTCGCTGCACAGCTATTTTCAGGTCTCTCCAGAGATTTTCGATCGGGTTCTGGCTGGGCCACTCAAGGACATTCAGAGACTTGTCCCGAAGCCACTCCTGCATTGTCTTGGCTGTGTGCTTAGGGTCGTTGACCTGTTGGAAGGTGAGCCGCCCCAGTCTGAGGTCCTGAGCAGGTTTTCCTCAAGGATCTCTCTGTACTTTGCTCCGTTCATCTTTCCCTCGATCCTGACTAGTCTCCCAGTCCCTGCCGCTGAAAAACATCCCCACCACCATGCTTCACCGTAGGGATGGTGCAAGGTTTCCGCCAGACGTGACGCTTGGCATTCACACCAAAAAGTTCAATCTTGGTTTCATCAGACCAGAGAATCTTGTTTCTCATGGTCTGAGAGTCCTTTAGGTGCCTTTTAGCAAACTCCAAGCGGGCTGTCATGTGCCTTTTACTGAGGTGTGGCTTCCGTCTGGCCACGCTACCATAAAGGCCTGATTGGTGGAGTGCTGCAAAGATGGTTGTCCTTCTGGAAGTTTCTCACATCTCCTCAGAGGAACTCTGGAGCTCTGTCAGAGTGACCATTGTGTTCTTGGTCACCTCCCTGACCAAGGCCCTTCTCCCCCGATTGCTCAGTTTGGCCGGGGTGGCCAGCTCTAGAAAGAGTCTTGGTGGTTCCAAACTTCTTCCATTTAAGAATGATGGATAGCCACTGTGTTCTTGGGGACCTTCAATGCTGCAGACATTTTTTGGTATCCTTCCCCAGATCTGTGCCTCGACACAATCCTGTCTCAGAGCTCTACGGAGCAAAAATGTCTAAAGACTTTTTTTCCCTTTGTCATTATGGGGTATTGTATGTAGATTGATGAGGATTTTTATTTATTTAATCGATTTTAGAATAAGGCTGTAACGTAACAAAATGTGGAAAAAGTCAAGGGGTCTGAATACTTTCCTTATGCACTGTATATATCTCTGTCAAACCTACAGTAAATGCTAACTACTACAGGAAGTGGGGTCTCATGTCTAACATTGCATACAGTAAAACAGTTATTTTCATATATTCACTTATAGCATAGAGGGTAGACTTCAAGGAAACGTGATTACAGTTATGCAGTGCCGATTTAAATTGGTCACAATGATGCCTGACTAAGGGAAGTACACACTCTTACCATGACAATGAGAGAGGACGCAGGAGGGATGAAGGTAAAGAAGAGAAAGGACAGTTCCCAGTGAGTTTCTTTCAAACACATTTCCCTTTATTGACATGTTGAGGCTGATGAGAATTGCACATAAAAATAAAATTCACAAGAAAGTCATACAATAGGTAGAACCACAAAAGGCATTGGTAAGGACTTGGCAGAAGGCAACGTGGATAGGACACAAACAGGTAACAACCCAAAGAAATACACCCCCCCACCCCACCCCACCCCAGACAGACACACACACACGCTCACACACATTATTGTCCTTCCAAAAGAAACATGATCACCCAACAAACGTTTAAGCAGTGGCCAATTCCTCAGTAGTTCACATTATTAAAGAGTCTGCCACAGTTGACATTTTCAGAACCATAAGGTGTTATAATATATTGCTACTCCTGGCGATTTACAAAGCAGATTTTTTTATTACAATGATTAAAGCCACATCTATCAAATGGGATGCGACGCCATTACCCATGCGCTGTACAGAAGAAAAAAAAATATGTTGAAATACAGGTGGAGGGGTAAGATTTCCCCCCACTGATTTTGCCTCTTTGCATCTGGAAAATTTGCTAGTTTTCATCTACACAGTCAATCTTGATGAAAGGTGGCCTGTGATCAGTGAAGCTTTCATACAAAAGAGTTCTACCTCTTGTGATGGAGGCAGTTTTTTCTCATTACTTGGCTCTCACTATAAACAGGATATTAATTGAACCAGAAAGCACTAGTTTACCTTTAATGTCACGTTGAAGGTGTTGTGATATCTGGACTGTGGGGCAGCAGCGCCTAATGGAAAATGGTGCGGCAGCATGCAATATTGAGTAGTTTCTCTAGGTTTATAGGATGTCATTCAAGTACTGCCATTCAGACAGGAGAGCCTGATAGCCGAAGTAGTTTGTGCTGTATCGGCTGTCATTTAATAGCCATGCGCTACACAGACAAATGTTTTGGTGCTAGGATGCTTGTTGCTGAACACTAAAGTTTTAACACTGTGTTTTCTGTTGTATTAGTTTACATTTGTACAGTTGCCACAAGGTTCTACAGAAACACACAGACCCAAACTCACACTAAATGGGCAAACATGAGTGTTGACTGACTAGAACATAGTGTAAGTGTTCTCTGTTGGGTGATAAGGGTCATGTGACCATGCTAAGAATGGAATGGATCCCCGTATATAGCCAGCGATTGGGTAATGGGTCGGATCTAAAACCACAACAATATAAGCTAAAGTACAAGTTTGAAAAATAATTTATTGCTTTTTTAAATACTTTTTCTTTCATTTATATTATCATTAATTATTTTTGTAATTATTGTGAATAATGTCAATATTATCATCATGTATATATATATATATATTTTGAACATCAAATACAAGATTTAAAAAAAATTCTGGAAAGAAAATTGTAAACTTTTTGTTTGGCATTCACATAATCAAGCGTGTGTGGAGCAACGACTCAGAGTTTTATAGTGTGGTACAACAAAATTCCTGCAAAATCATTTTATTGCTTCATGTTCTACTGTGTAAAAAGGAAAATAATGTGGTAGACATTTTGTCATGGCTGCAAACCACTGTTGTGGAGACAGAAATCACATGGACAATGAGCAGCATATCTCATCCCACTGTCGAGGAGATTATTAAGAATATTTTGATTGTTTCTGAAAGGCATAGAAAGTAATATTAATATAATAATATAAAGTAATATTCCCACAAATGGTATTATTATGTATTGTACATCTTACCACTGATTGTAAATTAAATAACTAAAATCTAATAACAATATAAATAGCTACAATTTGTGAGGTATGCCACGTGACATGGGAACCATAAATATTTTTGATTCAAATATTAAAATAAATAGATAAATATGCATGGTTTATCCTGTTTGAACAGATGAAACATAGTAGTAGTCTTTTCTCAAATAGAGTAAAATTATCAAAACGAGAACCATAAAAAGCATTGAAATCAAAATTAGTTGATATATATATATATTCTGATTGTTTCAGAGATAATTAATAAAAATGGGGTTTGTTTTTTTACAATCATGAAAAAACACGTTAAAAATGCATTTTACACTAGTTGTAGAAGGAAAAACACTGACCTGACTATAAATGGTTAACTTTTTTCCCCAACAAAATAAATCTTAAAAAATGAAATTTGTTGACATGCTCCCTCGAAATGAGCCTCCAACACACATTTTTACAATCATGTCATGTCTTCTAAACTTTATGTAGGTGTACAATATCTTTTACATCATTGTAATAACTACAGATCAACATTCTTAATTAAGAAAATGTCTTCATCAAAAGGCTGCATTTTACAGTGCATAGCTGTAACAAATAAAGAACTTTGTCTGATATGTACACAAAAAAATACAACATATTTTGATAATATCTGTAAATACAGGGCTACATTTTTGTCCGAAAATGTAGACAGCATTGTTATCTCTCGTTAATAGTGTAACACCACATCCAAACACCAGATTTTAAAAAAGAAAATCAGGCACAAAAATAAAAGAAAAAAAGCCTGAACAACCTGCACATTTTCACCACTCAAAGCATTGTTGGGTGTTTGTAGTGCTTGGAGAAAAAATCTCATGAATGTCTTTGTCTTTCACTGACTGTTGTACAAGAGTACAGCACACACATCTGTACACAGGTTATGAGGATTCACTGGCTCTCCCGGTACTTTCTCTTCCCAGCTTCTTCAGAAGCTATGTTCATGTAAACTTTGTTTTTAATATACTTTATATATATAGGTCTATATATAGAGATTCATCTTTATATACTCTCTTACATAGAGTGTAAAACTTCGGGTAGTCTCGTAGTCAAAGGACAGAAACATTAGTGAGGTATCAAGACATCCCTCTTTGTAGACAGCAGGTGACAGGGCACCTGTTACCTTCTCAGGCTGCGCTGGGCCTCTCTCAGCAAGCTGTCGAAATCCATGGAGTCGTACTTGCTTTTAGTGGAGGCTGGATCAAAGTCATCAGAATGGGAATCTGAAATGAGAGATGTATATTGACGTCAGTGTTAAGCAGACTAAGTGGTCTCCAATTCTTGTCACAAAATCACTCTCACCTTTGTTTAGTTCTGCACATTGAAGGGCAGTTTCCTGGACACATAAAGCCTAGTCCTGGACTAAATAGCATGGCCAATGGAGAATCTCCATTGAAATACCTTTTTAGTCCAGGACTAAGATTAATCTGTGTCCAGAACTGCCCCTAAATGTTTGACAAGTCAGGTCATCGTGACTTTGCTATATTCTGAATACATCCATTTCAAAGGACGTTCAAACCATTTCACATAATCCTATAAACAACTGTAAATCTGTATCACTATCATTTGGCTCAGTGTTGGGCAGATAGATACTCAGATCTGCATCTATCTCAAAGGACTCATTTGAATCTGTTGCTTTTCAATAAGTTTGAAAGCTATCTGTACCCCCTCCAACGTTTCATATCTCCCCACAAATTAGAAGTTTAGACACCATTCATCTTTACATAATTCAAAGGCTCAGGGTGGAAAATAAAGCTTTCCTGATACTGAGCGCCAAAAACGCCAAAACTGAGCGGGCGGCGGGGGCATTTATTTTGATTGGTCGGCGCGATATTAAATGAGTCTTATCTCTCTTGGCAGACAGCTTCACAAATGGGGCCCCCACACGGGGCGGAAGCACGCTTTGAGAGCTTGAGAAATGGGAATGACCATGGCATGCAGGAGATGCCAGTCGTGATCTAATGCCATGGCCAAGGGGTGGATTGTGTCACACCGCGCACCTTGAAGGATGACAAATACCCATGTGCACTACTTAGAACTAATGGACAGTCAAAAAAAAAATAACGAGACGAGAGGGCCGGGCAAGATAGAGAGGAGGAACTGAGGCCGCTCCTGCATGACATTATTCAAGTTCCCTCGCTTTGAACAGGACGTATTTTTCTCTCTCGTTATTTATCCTACCCCCATGGGCAGTTTGGGATAGACTGGTCTTTCTCTCTAAAAGTGAGAGGAAGCAGAATGAAGGTCTTTCTTTTCATTCTGAGAGACTGATTAGTAGTGTCATGGACCTGGGATTAACGCATCGTCGCTGTACATTTCACAAACGTCCACTCCGTGAATGCCATTGGTTTCAGGCCCGAGCCTCAGAAATAAACATTAACGTCTTTGTTCCTTTGAAGAACATTTGATTTTTTGCCTCTGCTGTGACCTACTGACCTCCCAGTTCGCCCTGCATTAAACATTCCCCACCTCACGCTTTGTCGTAGAATGAATGTCGAGTGGAAAACGGGAGCAACTATACAAGCCCCACTTGGCATCTTAACCTCCATCATGAAATGGAGCAAATGATCTCTTGTGGACACACAGACGAGCATCCATCTTGATGGACTGACTGACTCCGGCTATAGTGCTATTTAAACATTGCTCCCAGAGTGTCTACCTTCTGTTAATGATAGTGGGGCTATAGTATAGATAGGGGATGAGAAATAGAGGGATGGAGATCCCATTTTCTCTTCTTGTTTTCAACAGGCGTCTACGTAGGGAGAAGATTTGTATCAGTACCTTATATTATTTATCAAATCCGCCATCCGGCAATATAGCCACGTCCTTCTGAACAATGAGTGCTGTCTTTCGGGCGTATACGGTTAATTTTTTCTGTGCACTTGTACGTTGGCACCTTTTCCTCCGATTAATCGACTAGCTCTACCCGTGCTATTAAGTCGCCGGCACTTTGTAGGGCTGCCGTCTTGAGGAGCCGACCCTGTGTCAGTGTCTAAAAGCATGAGGAAGAGAGTGCTGATTATTAGTCAATCAGGCCTCTGCTGTCAGGTTCGTTTCCTCCCTCCCTCCCTCTGTGGATGACATGCTGCTAGGTACCACAGCGAGGTCTTGCCTCTGTTGAACACCACAACAGCTGGCAACAGATGGAGGCTCACCCAGGAGGGAGGGGCTGAGGGGATTTAACCTTGCCCCCTCCTCCCTCCCTCCCTCCCTCCTCCCTCCCTCCCTCCATCCACATCCCTCTCTTTACCCTCCAAGAGGACCAGAGCATAAAATATACATGCCTGTATATAGGGTATCAAAACAAACCGCAGACAAGCTTTTAAAGGGCATCGTTCTCCTTCTTTCCAATTCCATACTTCTTGAGTATCGACTAAGTACAAAGATGTAGGCTGTGAGCAATGGAATGGAACAAGGCCTCTCCATTCCTCGAGATATACTCCTATCTAGGCGCCGGTAAAAGAGCAGCTCTATTCCTGGAATTGTACACAGATTGACCCCTGAACTGTTTTTGCCCGTGATGACTGGAAGGTAGATTCTAAAGCTTGAGGGGGGGTGGTGAGAGTAAAGATATGCTCTTTGATTTTTAAAGGCATCATTTGAGCCTTTTTGCTTTTGCAGCTTCCCACCCCTCCCCTCCCCTCCCCTCCATCCTTCACTCCCTTTGACAGTCCACGTGTATTAGCAGAAGCTCCGGGGCTCTCCCGAGCAACAACAAAGCAGCACTTACCCAAGTCTGTATAATTTGATTTGCAGAACTGCTTTTGTCCACCGAAGCACAGCTCGAACTGGGGCTCGTTTGATCGGCGTAAGGTGTGTCCGTTTTCAAGGGCAGCGAAGGCGTCACAAGTGTAGCGGTAGGTGATGAAGCCAAAATTGTCCCTGCGGTCGAGAACAGAAAATGAAAAGTCAAACCAACAACGTCAGGTCCTCCTCTGGTAGCGGACATCCACACTATTTATATGCAAAAGAGAAATCAATAAAAATGTATCTTTGGGGCTCTTTTTAGGCTAGGGATAGATAGGGCAACAGACACGATTGGAATGCAAAAAGAGCTATCCTGCCCTGCGTCTACACCTGACTTTGACATAGTAGTCGATGCAAAGCCCTGAAAGAGATGCTGGTTTTCTGTGTCCCACCTAACCCAGAGGGTAGGAATGAATGGACTGATGTACTACAATGAATCCTATTACCCCCCCCATGCACCCAACACACACAAACATACACAGTCCCGGGGCCTTACCCGTCATCTCTCAGGTTCACGGCACACTCTTCGATCTCGCCGAAGACTTCAAAGCGCCGCTTCAGCTCGGTCCGCGTGCTGTCGGACCTCAGTCTCCCCACGTACACCACCCGTCTCTCCTCCTGCTCATTAAAGGAGAGAAAGAGAGAGGGAGAGAGATGAAAGGAGGCGTATATATTCCTCTCTTTTCTCTTTTCCCCTCCCCTTCAAGCCTACTCGGTGGCCATAATGAACTGCTCGGAACTCCCGACGGCGAGCGCTGACTCGAGGCCACCCTTTTGTCACTTCGCTCTTGTTTTTTTCCCCGTTGATTGGTCGGGCTGTGCTATATACCTCCTCTTATCTGATAGGACAGATTCATTATGGTATTTTTTCCCGGCCCTTATAGAACCGTATACCTTCAGACTATCAGAGGTAGTGTTTTCTTTTCCTCTTTCGTTTTGTGGTCTGAGAACTCATAATGACTCAATGACTTGTTTGGTATTACACAACTCAACAAGCCTATATCTGTAGTCAAAAGAGGACAAATGCATTTTTAAGTGTCCTTCAATTATGGGTAACTGTTGCACTAGTGAATTAGACCCCTCGCTTGGCCCTGAATATCAGATAATAAGCTCCAGTTACACATCCACCATTAAAGAAACCTGTACGAAACACCATTACTAAGACCAGGCCATGGGGGAGAAAACACCATTACTAAGACCAGGCCATGGGGGAGAAAACACCATTACTAAGACCAGGCCATGGGGGAGAAAACACCATTACTAAGACCAGGCCATGGGGGAGAAAACACCATTACTAAGACCAGGCCATGGGGGAGAAAACACCATTACTAAGACCAGGCCATGGGGGAGATAACACCATTACTAAGACCAGGCCATGGGGGAGAAAACACCATTACTAAGACCAGGCCATGGGGGAGAAAACACCATTACTAAGACCAGGCCATGGGGGAGAAAACACAATTTTCCACAAACCACAAAGGACACAAAGGTCACAGCGGCATAATTTAGACCTACCGCACGAGGCTGCAATTATGGTTTTGGGAGCAATTTAATTGCATCTGCTAATCATAAAATGCAGAGCAAGCCTCTAGGCTGTTGTATCACTGAAATTATTTATTTATTCACTCATTTACTTGCCATTACTGGGGCGAGTCTATAGAGATCCATTCAAATGTTGAATGCTACCCCGGGGCCACTGGTAACTGATACATGTAAATCAGTCGCCTGGTAGTAAAACTCAAAGTTCACCTCCGCAAAGAACCAAGAACCAAGGTTCTGTCCCAAATAGCACCCTATCCCCTACATAGTGCACTACTTTTGAGTAGAGTGCTATGGGCCCTGGTCAAAAGTAGTGTACTATATAGGGAATAGGGTGCCATTTGGTATGCATGCTAAATGGTAAGACATAAGCTCCAATCCTTAGGAAAATACAAATTAACCATAATATTCTGTATATTTTTCTTTCCTCTCCTCCCTTCACATACAGTATGAGACAAAGCGTTTGCTGAATTAGTGATTTAGTTGCTGACAATTGATAAATACGCCGGCTTTCCGAGACGGCACCCTGAGGCTGGCCGTCTGTTTGTGTGTGTGTGTGTGTGTGTGTGTGTGTGTAGCCCTCGCATCATCTGGCCTCCCAAACCTCTACTGACAGCTTGGCTTTGCTGCCCGTAATTGTCTCACCTAAAATGTATGCAGGCCAAAGATGGCATGTGTGAATTATTTGACGTGCACATTTATCATCCTGTGTTAGCATGTTTAAAACGTGTGCAATGTCACACAGAGACAGAGGTAGAGAACGGAGAATTGATATTCATCCCATTTTCATTGAACGTAAACTAGATCACTAGAAATATTCCTTATTTAAACAGTGTACATTTCCATGGCAGTGAATTTCCTTTTTTTAGCCCTCTTCCTTCTCTTCCTGTTTCTAACATCTGCCCCTGTTGTGTGATTAATAAGATCCGACACCGTTCCCAGACGCTGGAGACTTTAAAAAATACACAACCTGGAGATAAAGAGGAAACGTGTGTAGCCCTGAATGATTCAGTGACTCACTTTGCATGTATTCATTCATTACAGAGGAACAGTAGGCAGCAGGCACGGCAATGAGCCCTTAACTGTCTGCCCTGTCTAGGTAGTGCAGAGGGTGTGTGAGACAGCGATGGGCACAGCCGGGCTATATTAACTCCAGGCTGCCGTTAGAAGGACGAAAGAGAGAGAGAGAGAGAGAGAGAGAGAGAGAGAGAGAGAGAGAGAGAAGAGAGGAGAGAGAGAGAGAGAGAGAGAGAGAGAGAGAGAGATTCACTGAGTATACAAAACAATGAAGAACACCTGCTCTTTCCATGACATAGACTGACCAGGTGAATCCAGGTGAAAGCTATTATGCCTTATTGATGTCACTTGTTAAATCCACTTCAAATCAGTGTATATGAAGGGGAGGAGACAGGTTAAATAAGGATGTTTAGGCCTTGTGACAATTGAGACATGGATTGTGTATGTGTGTCATTCAGAGGGTGAATGGGCAAGACAAAAAAAGTAAGTGCCTTTGAATTGGGTATGGTAGTAGTTGCCAGGCGCACTGGTTTGTCAAGGACTGCTGGGTTTTTCTCGGTCAACAGCTTCCCATTTGTATCAAGAATGGTCCACCACCCAAAGGACATCCAGCCAACTTGATACAACCGTGGGAAGCATTGGCGTCATCATGGGCCAACATCCCTGTGGAACGCTTTCGACACCTTGTAGAGTCCATGCCCCGACGAATTGAGGCTGTTCTGAGGGCAACTCAATATTAGGAAGGTGTTCCTAATGTTTTGTCCACTCAGAATATAAGACAGGGGAACTCACTAATGCTTTTTGACTTTGCCTCTCCCTCTGCTCGGCCCTCTCAAACTCCCTCTTCTCGTAGTCCCGGCGGTACTCCTCCCGCTTCAGACGCTCGTGCTGGTATTCCTCGTAGCTGTCGTACCTGCGGAGGGACCAAATCAAACCCATCATTTCCACTGTCCTCCACCGCCCTTCCAACATCTGCCCTTCATTTTGACGTCCGCACTTATGAAGCGTATCGGCCAAAACCCCACCAAGGAGTTGGGCTAAATTTCCCCCTCCCAGAGTGGTAGGGAAACTAACAAATGCATTAATAAGAAGATGCCTCCTCCTGGTCGTAAAGGTTATGGATCCCGCAGGAGAGGCCCGCGGGAGAGAGCGGATAGCGGGTGAGACGCACAGTAGGGAGCTGGACAGCTGCCACTGTCAGCATTACTTCACATCATTACTTTCAGCTTAGTCCGGGGGAAAGAAGTGCAACTTTTCTCTCCTAACTCTCTCGTCAGATGTGGCCATGCATTAGAGAGATGGGAAGATAGGACTTTGGGCTTGTCTGGTGTCGTTGGACTAATCAATGGCTAAGGAATGAGTGCCAATATTCTACACCGTGTTCCACAATCCTGCTGGTTTTCAATCAATACAAGTTTTTGGTTAAAAGGCAAGGACGAAAACTAGCATTAACTGAAGGGACTGGATCATCAGGGACCTAAGCTATTTACCCCTGGTTTAGTGTTAGGGATGTGGTGGACCCTTACCTTGGCCTGCGACTGAGGGGGGATCTGGACTGTGAGTGAGGGCTTTTGTGGGTCCTGGACCGCAATGTGCTGGAGTCCATGTTGTGGCGAGACCTGCAAAAACAGAATACATATTAATCATCAAGATATTAATCATCCAGAGTCTTATAATTAAAAAAAGGTTTTAATGAAATGTAGTATCTTGTGTTTTTAAAGTATTGTCTAAATGTAACTGTGCATTCTGCATAATTCAGTCTTGTCGACTGCGAGCATTATTTAAATAAATGAAATCATATCTGAGATCCGTATCTCTGAAACAGATAATATTGTCTAGACATGACACTCACTGTACTTAAGCATTCCTAAATAATAGCCTTTTCTTACAAGATGACAGAGCCACAGTGTCAAATCTGACCTTAAAAAACACATAACCAAAAGTCCAAATATATTCAGCACATTTTCCTAGTTTGACCGAATTTGACTTCCTTCACTCTTCTCCTCCACAGTGCAGCTGGGAGAAATGTTCTCACCTTTCCTCCCATCAGGGCCAGTATGTACTGTACAAGCACCTCGTATCTATGTTAAATGAGGGGAAGGTCCCTACAGAGTACAGGCTCTTTAGCTCCCATTGCTTTATTATTGAACTGATGCTGAAGAAGGGAGACTTGAATAATAGAAGAAGAGAAGTTAGTCTATGGTCGAATGTCCACAGAGTTAAGGAAGTCGAGAGTTTGAAAAGAGTGGGGGAGTACTTGAGAAAAATGTGTAGAATATTTTTTACTTTGAGTTCTTGAGATTGAGATACTTTTTACTCAGGTATCCTTAACCTTTTATGAGGTTACTTTTCCCCGCTTTTCTTCTTTCAACTAACCGTGACATCTTTAGCAACCTAGTGACCGTCTCTGTGTATTGTATCATAATGTTGGCGATAGTCCTCAGCGTGAGTGATTTATCAAAGATAAAAGACTACAAAACAGAAGGCAAAGCTAACCTCCATTGAGACTGACCTTTCAGTAACCCAGCAAACCAACTTAAACTCACTTATGAACGTGAGGGAATTGAATGAATAGTCTATCCAGTTTGCAAGGCACTCAATGCAAGACTGCTGATAAAGTCTCCTTCTATTTGTAGTTCTACTCAGTATCTAGAGTATATCCGTAAAAAAAAAAAAACATAACCCCCTTTGCTCTGATCAAAGGGAACCATGGGAAATGTAGTTATCCTGGGCTGCTGTGATGATGTACATTGTTTTCAGATGAGGGGATAAAGAACTAAACTCTGGCTTTCATCTCTGGGGGGTTTCGCCTGGCGCTCAGTAAAACAACAGATGCTGCCTAAAACAACACGCACCACATCAAATAGTAGATCCCGGGTAAACGGAGGTGGGAATGAGTGACAAAATGCTCAGATAACAATCATTGCCAGGGGAAAAGAGGCTTTGACAACGTTGAAGCAACCAAAGCACAACGCCTAAGGCACTGCTTATTTTCCTAGTTGCCGCCTTCTCAGATTTACAGTTTGACTAACACACCAAACCTCCATGTCTGGTATCTGCTAGTGGAACCCTGGGTCTGCATGTACAAGCTTCTCAGAGTAGGAGTGCTGATTTAGGATCAGTTTCCCCTTTAGATCATAATGAATAAGATTATATGTACAGGAGGGACCTGATCCTAGATCTGCACTCCTACTCTGAGAAGTGTGAAACATATGGCCTCTGCTCTGTAGTAACGCACTGAGAGAGTTGAGCTTGGCTAGCCTCACTACACCAGCCTAACACAATCCACTGTAGTCGTCCAGCCAGTAAGGATTCTCCCTGGCCCTGCCACACTCTCTCCTATTGTAAAAAGCCTCTTTCCTCTGGAACATAACAAGTCTTCTCCATGATTCTATCTCAGGCTGGGGATGCAGAAGCAGCTAGAGGCCCCATACTGGGAGACTGAAGAGACTATCCTCTCCTGACTCCGTCTCTGACCTGTTTACACGACTGAGCTGTCTGCCCCCTGCCGGGAGCACCGTCAGAGCCGCCCACAATGCTTAGGCAACGTTCAAACAACAGAAGGGAAACGTCACCCACCAGGAGGGAACGTGTTAGTTGGCTGTATTCCGATATCCACACTGGCATGCTACTTAGAATGAAGCTAAGTAGTAGATATATTGGGCAAGACTTCTAAGTGGTGTGGTAGTATGGACATGGGAACCTAGCCACAGTGAGTAGAGATTGAGGGTTTACTCACCTGGAGGAGGGGCGTCCGTCGGGTGAGCTGGAGAGGGAGCGTCTCCGGTGGTGGGAGGAGGAACTGCGGGAGCGGGAGCGGGAGCGAGAGCGGGAGGAGGGGGAGCCCAAGCGGGGCCATCGGAAGTGTCTGGGGGAGAGGAGGAGGGAGGAGGGGGGCGAGACGGAGCCCCGTGAGGGGGAGCAGCTGGACGGCGAGCAGGACGGCGAGCAGGACTCGAAAAGCAGGTCCAGGGGGGTGCCCTCCCAGGGGTAGAGGAAGCGCCCCTCGGTGCCGCGATCCTCCAGCTCCTCGTGGAAGGGAGAGAGGCCCGGGTGCAGGTACCCAGTAGAACCAGACCCATAACCAGGGAGCTTGCGGTAGTACTCGTCCCAAGCAGGGCTCTCCTTGGGCGGCTGCGGCGCTCCGGTCATCTCCCCTCCTCCCTGTCTCCCCTCCTCCACCACCACCACCACCTCCTCCCCCTTCTCACCCTGGCTATAGATAGCTTGCTGGGGGCAGCCAAAGTGCTTGTTGAGCTCCGCCCGGATCTCCTGGTCTCGCAGGGGCTGCTTCCTGCTGGCGGAGTGCTGGTCCCCTTCTGGGGTCTGTGGTGGGGGTGGTTTGTCCTGGGTGGTGGGGGTCCGGACCTGCCCCCTAGCCTCCTTACCCACAGGGGAAGAACTCTGCTGCTGCTGCAGCTGCTTGGCCAAAGAGGATGAAGATGGAGGAGGAGATGTAGAGGATGAAGAGGAGGAGGAAAATGAGGAGGGTGGCATGGCTGAGTCCTTACATTCCACATGCCTGTCCTCCACCATACCCGGATTGGGCTTCAGAGGGGTTGTCGTAGCAGTCGTTATGGTAATGGTAGCATCAGCCGCATTAGCGTTAGCGCCGGCGGCAGGGTCCTGTTTTGTGCTGGCCGCCGTGGACTGACAATAGTCGTGGTCGCCATAGCAGCGAGGCTGGACACTCCGCTTGTTGTTGCCGCCGCAGTGCTCCTCCTGGCAAACCCCTGTCGTCGCAGCAACCACAGAGGTGGGGAGGGCAGTGGACGCTTTGCTTAGCTGGGCGTACAGCTCAGTCTGCTCGGGACCCTTCCTGCCTGGGGCCAGGGTTGGGGCTAGGGGTCTGCAGGGGTCCGCCTCGCTCAGCCGAGCCCTTTTGCACGCCAGGGCAGATGAGGAGCATGAAGACAACTTGGTTTTGAGCGATGCTTTGAAAGGGATCTCTTGACTGGCTTTGTGGGGGGGCGTGGTAGGTGGTGTCAGACCTGGAGAGAGGGAGGGAGGGAGGGAGGGGGAGAGAGAGAGGGAGGGAGGGGGAGAGAGGGAGGGCGGGAGGGGGCGAGAGAGAGAGGGTCGATAAAAGAGAATGGAAATATAATGCATTCTACCTCCCCACCTACCCCCCTCTCCTCGCACTCCCCACAACCTGTTTAAAGACAGTGGACACACACAGGGGTTGATTAAAATATTCACTTTCATTCCTGCTCCTAATCCTGATCCGTATTTTATTGCAATCTTGACAGATTAATGCAATGCTCTGTGTAATTTAATATGGTAGAGCCGCTACACGGCTCGGTTACCACCGCCATCCATCCCTCCCTCCCTGACCTTGGACAATCCCTCATTCAGGAAGGAGAGAAAAACATCGGCAGCGGACAAACATCCTCCTCGAGTGGAGCGTCCTTTGAAAATGTAACCATCGAATATAGCCTACACGTTGGATGATGGCCAAGCGATTTCAATAAAAGCAAAGACCTTTGGGCTCAGTTTTGAAAATCTATCACAAATGTCCTATGTTTCGGGCTTCTTCTCTCTACTGCAAGTCAAGGGAGCGAGATATGTCGGGTAGCGAGATGCGTCCGTTTTCAGAGCTGCATGTTGCTATAGCGTGCCACTGTGCTGTCATACGATAGTGTCGGCTTGGCGCGGGGGAGATGTCTGAGTGGTAATGGAGGCTCAGTGTCTGCCGGGGGAATGGGTTGTCATTCTTCTCAGATCCTGCTTGCCTCTCTGTGGTTCGTGCCGAACCCGACCCCTCCTGACAGATTTACGAGCCGACAGATGGCAGTTATATGAGAAGTCCTGAGATGGGCCTGCTTTATAGCATTGTTAACTATCACACAAACAACCAGCGCTAGGTAGGCAGTCCCTTTCCCTCTGTCTCCCTCTTGTCTCTTCCCCTCCTTTCTCCCGGTCTGCCGTCCTCTCTGGTTCAATCTCTCTCTCTCTCTTTCTCTAACCATCTCTCTTTTTTTCACTGTCCGTCTTTCTCCTCTAGACAAATACACAGGCATGCACACACGGACACAGACACACACAACAGTCACATACAGCCTCCCTCTCTGGAGTGGAGCTCAGGCACTTTGAACACCTACGCTCCCTGTCTTTGCCATTGTTATGAATGCACATCACTCTCCCTTGCAGTGAATTGCACCAAATAACAGCTATTAGTATCAAACCTGTGTAAGAGTATTTACTGGGGAGACTTTGAGCCTGAAAAAAAAAAGAGAAAGAGACAGAAAGAGAAAGAGAGAGTGAGAGAGAGAGAGTGAGAGAGAGAAAAATGCAGTTCCGGGGCCATTTCCTGAGTTTGGACTGTCTAATCCAACCATTTTATCATCTAGACTTATCTGGATTTTACGGTAAAGCCGAACCGCAAACCCCCATCCCTCTTTAACAGTCAGACGTGGTACACCGATAGCGACATAGAGACTTGATGCAGTATTTCAGAGAGAGAGAGATGAGAAACAGGGCTATATTTATCATTACGCCAATGAAATGAGCTATGAAAAGGGAAGGGAGGGCCGGCGCGGTGCCCGAGGAACTTCTGTTTCGCCAATGAAACGCCATCTGTGCAAAACAATGCGCAGTAGGGTCATAAACTAGGAGCCATTAGTGCTGGGGTGAAATAAGAATTAGATAAATATGCGGCTCTCAGTCAAACCGGCTTGTGATGGATGCTCGGCAGACACAAACACCAATCATATAGCGAGCAGAGTTTTTTTTCTCTAATCTGTTTCTTTCCGGGACTGTAAATTGCGAAGAGACCTCCGAGCAAACGACTCCGACGCCAACTCAGGGCTTAAAGAGTTGATCCGGTGGTAAGCCATGCAAATAGCAACACATAGACCCAACCCCGGTGTCATGAGATACTGTAATTAAAGACAACACAGTAAATCTATTAGCAAAAGGAGATTAGTCCTTCCAGTCAAATCCATGGGCTCTCTCTGAGTAGTGGGGTTGCCTCAGGTTTACCTTATGGGGGAGGTGGGAGAGGGCCTAGGCCATAGTAAAATGATGCTAGTGTACAGTTAGCAGTATCAAATTCTGAATAGAAGCTAATTACAATTACTTTTCTTACTACTACTACTACTACTACTACTGATAATGAAGAAACAATGTTACACCCTATGCGTCGTTCTTGAATTGCGGTGGCATTTGGGGATTTAGGAAAATGTTTACCTTCTCATTTTTTATTTTTTATTTAAATGTATTTGGGTACATCTTCCCATTCTAAATCAACTACTATGGCAGTTTAATGACTTTAAATACTTTTTATCATTACACTCTTAGGGAAAAAAGGTGCTATCTTGAACCTAAAATGGTTCTTCGGCTGTCCGCATAGGAGAACCCTTTGAAGAACCCTTTTTGGTTCCAGGTAGAACCGTTTCCACAGAGGGTTCTACATGGAACCCAAAAGGGTTCTACCTGAAACCAAAACGGGGTCTCCTATGGGAACAGCCGAAGAAGCCTTTTGGAACACTTTTTCAAAGAGTGTACTGTAGGATAACATTGTGCCACCAGTAAGAGTGGTTACACCAATGAAACATTTTTGGTTATTGTGGATTTTGTTAAATGGAGGCCACAGATTTGTATTTGTATTTATTAAGGAGCCCCATTAGTTCCTGCCGAGGCAGCAGCTACTCTTCCTTAATCCAGCAAAATTAAGGCAGTTATACAATTTTAAAAACATTACAATACATTCATAACAGATTTCACAACACACTGTGTGCCCTCAGGCCCCTACTCCACTACCACATATCTACAACACAATATCCATGTGTACGTGTGTGTATAGTGCGTATATTATCATGTGTGTGTATGCATATGTCTGTGCTTATATTTGTGTTGCTTCACATTCCCCGCTGTTCCATAAGGTGTATTTTTTATCAGTATTTTAAATCTAATTTTACTGCTTGTATCAGTTACTTGATGTGGAATAGAGTTCCATGTAGTCATGGCTCTATGTAGTACTAAAGTACTGTAGTACTAAATCTAAGGTCATTAACCATTTACTAAAGTGATATGATTAATAATTTTGCTCACAATGTTATTTCCCTTATTTAAATTGACTAACAACAAGTGACACTGGATTTAGACCCCTCTCACGATAACAGTTTGCCACTGGAGGGAATGCTCAAGGTAGGACTTCATTAATTTCATTTATTTGAGTAGGGACAGATGCAATAACATTGACACATTGCAATGTACAACAGTAAGATACATTGCATCATAACACTATCTTTGTAATGAGAGATTTTCAAGGTGGTAACACCAATGACTGACAGACATTATACTAGTACAAAAAATGTATTTTAATCGCCTTTGTTTTTATTGATCTATACAATATATTAAAAACTTTTCTTCACTTTCTAGCATTCAAAATAATAGATAGATATCTCTAAATCCCCAAAACATGTCAGTACAACTCTACACATCACTACTGGGACAAGCCAATTTGCTTACCCTAAGTACTTTAAACAATGCATAAACAAAGATTTGCAGTATAAAGGACTTGCATGATGTTTTATCATTGATAAAGAGTTCAATATAAAAAAAAAACATGTATGATGTGTAACTATTTGTCATTTATAGTGTTTTTCATAGTTGCAAAGGCAAGGGACGCAAATTGAAGAATGACCCCCATGTCATGGAAAAGTTTACAACTGAAATGCTAACCTACTACTGTACTACAACTCCTAATAAAGACATAAAAGTGTCTCTCCTTAAAGATGCACTATGCAGAAATCGCTCCACCATTTCCTGGTTGAAAAATTCTAATAGTTAGTCTAATTTCAGTTTATGTGACAAACCAAGCAGTCATAGTGTAGAGAATCATTGTACCATCTAAACCGCTGTGAAATATATTTTCAGCTGTTTGAAGCTGGTGTACAAAATCAAAAGTAAAAGACGCAAAAATTAAATTTAAGAACGGGAAGCATAGAAATAGCACACATAGAACAAATCTACCGCTTCTTAGACTTGTTTCAAGATCTATAGCTCACATTTCTATGTGAATTTGGTCAGATCGCCCAAAAAGTAAAATATTGTAGCTTTAAACTTGCCACGGAAAATTCCATGTCCGATTGAAGCACTGACATACTTCCACCTGAAGGTGGCCCCTCCCCCTTTGGCTTAACTCCACCTGGTTATCAATTAAAGAACCATCATCTCCAGATCTACCGGAACCGTTCTACTGAGGACACATTAACTCAAGGGATCACAGAGATTTTATTCCCCCTGTTTCTCCATATCAGGCATTCCTGAGTCGCTTACCACACGGGACTAGACTAATCCTAAAACGTAAGGGGCTCAGTATCCATTAGCTTTTTCTTCTAATGGCTTTTCCCCTAATATCTAATCCCAAATCTGCAAAGGGCAGTGGAGTCAGAGTTTGGCTTTATTAACTATCGCTGAAGCAGGAACACAGGGACATGAGGAGAATGGGATTGAAGCCCGAGGTCAGAAGCAGTAAAAATAAAGAAATATGAACAGTTTGATTGCTCCATAGCTCTTAATTCCCTATGGGTGTCCCCTCTAACCTCTGATGCTTCTGTAAACACAGGGTTAAATGGCAAATCGGAGCTTGGTCATCTGGAGGAACCCCCTTGGGGCTTTGGTGTCCCACAAATCTACCCCATCTCCGACTCTAAAGAGACTCCAGATAATTCATTCCTATTGGGCCTTGTTCCCAAACAAAATGCCACCTTGACTCTAGGAGGCGAGTCAGGGGTTTTTTTTGAAAAATTTAAAGGTTTTTAAAAAAAAATTTTTTTTTTTTTCCCTTTTTTTTTAGGGGCCAAAAAAATTAAAAAACCCCCCCTTTTAAAAAAATTTTTTAAACCCCCCCCCTTTTTTAAATTTTTAAAAAAAAACCCCCAAAAAAAAAAAAAAATTTTTTCCCCCCCGGGGAAAAAAATTTAAAAAAAACCCGTTTTTCCCCAAAAAACCCCTTTTTTTTTTTTTCCCCCCAAAATAATTTTTTTTTTTTGGGGGGGTTAAAAAAAGGAAAAAAAAAAAAAAACCCCCCTTTTTCCCCCCCTTTTTAAAAAGAAAAACCCCCCCCATTTTTTAAATTTAAAAATTTTTAAAAGGGCCCCCAAAAAAATTTTTTTTTTCCCCCCCCCCCCCCCCCCCAAAAAAAGCCCCCCCCGGGGGGGGGTTTTGCCCCCCCTTTTTTTTTCCCCCAAAAAAAAAAAAGAAAAAAAAAAGGGGTTTTTTTTTTTTAAAAAAAAGGGGGCCCCAAAATTTTTTTTTTTTTTTAAAAAAAAAAAAATTTAAAAAAATTTTTTTCCCAAAATTTTTTCCCCCTTTTTCCCCCCGGGTTTTCCCCCTTTTCCCCCAAAAAAAAGGGGTTGGGGGGGGAATTTTTTTTTCCCCAAAAAAACCCCCCAAAACCCCAAAAGGGGGGAAAAAATTTTAAAGGGGTTTTAAAAAAAGGGTTTTGGGGGGGGTTTTTTTTTGGGGTTTTTTCCCCTTTTTTTAAAAAAAAAGGGGAAAAAAAAAGGGGGGAAAAATTTTTTTTTTCCCGGGGGGAAAAAATTTTGGGGGGGGGGTTTTGGAGGGGGACCCAAAAATTCCCCTTCCGGGGGGGGAAAAAAAAGGGAAAAAAAAAGGGAGGGGGGAAAGGGGGAAAAGGGGGGAAAAAAAAAAAAAAAAATTTTTTCCCCCCCTTTTTTTTTTTTTCCCCCCCCCTTTTTTTTTTTTTTAATTTTCCCCCCCCCCGGGGGGGGGGTTTTTTTTTTGGGGGGGCCCCCCGGGGGGTTTTGGGGGGGGGGGGGGGGGGGTTTTTTTAAAAAAAGGGGGGTTTTTTCCCCTTTAACCCGGGGGGGAAAACCCCGGGGGTTTTAAAAAAAAAAAAAAAAAAAAAAAAAAAAAAAAAAACCCCCCGGGGGAAAAAAAAAAGGGGGCCCCCTTTGGAAAAAGGGCCCCCCTTTTTTTCCCAAAAAAGGGGGGAAAAAAAGGAAAAACCCTTCCCCCCAAAAAAAATTAAAAAAAAACCCCCCCTAAAAAAAAAAAAGGGGGGGGGGGAAAAAAAAAAATTTTTGGGGGGGGCCAAAAAATTTTCCGGGGGTTTTTTTTTTCCCCGGGGGGGGAAACCCCCCAAAAAAAGGAAAAAAGGGGGGGAAAAAAGGGGGAAAAAGGGGGGGGGGAAAAGGGCCAAAAAATTAAAAAGGGGGGGGAAAAAACCCAAAAAGGGGGGGCCCCCGGGGGGGGAAAAACATTTTTTTCCCCCCCCCCCCCTTTTAAAATTTTGGGGGAAAAGGGGGGGGTTTTCCCCCCGGGGGGGGGGGTTTTAAAACCCCCCCGGTTCCCCAAAAAAAAGGGGGCCCCCCAAAAAAATTTTTTTTTCCCCAAAAAAAACCGGGCCCCGGGGCCGGCCCCAACCCGGGGGAAAAGGGGTTTTTTGGGGGCCCGGGCCTTGGAAAAAGAGAAAAACCCAAAAAAAAAAGGGGGGTTTTTGGGTTAAAAGGAAAAAACCCTTCGGGAAAAAGGGGGGAAAAAAAAAAAAATTTTTTCCCCAAAAAAAAATTTTTCCCCCCGGGGGCCCGGGGGGAAAAATGGAAAACCCCCCAACCCCCTTGAAAAAAAGGGGGGGGAAAAAAGGGTTTTTAAAAAAATTTTTTGGGGGCCCCCCGGGGGAAAAAAGGGGGTTTTCCCCCCCGGGAAAAGGGGAAAAAAAAACGGGGGGAAAAAGGGGGGGGGAAGGGGGGTTAAAAAAAAGGAAAAAAAAAGGGGGAATTTAAAAAAAAAAAAAAAGGGGGGGGTTAAAAAAAGGGGGGAAAAAGGGGGCTTTTGGGGAAAAATTTGGGGGGGAAAAAAAAGGGGGGGGGGCCCCCCGGGGGAAAGGGGGGGGAAAAAAAAGGGGGGAAAAAGGGGGGAAAAAAAAAAGGGGGGTTGGGGGGGGAGGGAAAACCCAAAAAAGGGAAAAAAAAAAGGGGGGGGGGGGCCCCTTTTGGGCCCCCCCCAAACCCCCCAAAAATTTTTTTTGGGGGGAAAAACCCCGGGGGGGAAAAAAAAATTTGGGGGGGGTTTTTTTTCCCCCCCCTTTAAAAATTTTTTCCCTTTTTTCCCCCGGGGGTTTTTCCCCTTTTTTAAAACCCAAAAAAAAAACCCTTTTAAAAATTTTTTGGGAAAAAAAAAAAAACCCCCCCCCCCCCTTTTTTGGGGTTGGGAAAAAAAGGGGGTTAAACCCCCGGGGGGGGGAAAAAAAGGGGGGGAAAAGGGAAAGGGGGGGGGAAAAAAAAAAAAGGGGGGGAAAAAAAGGGGGGGGCCCCCCCCCAAAAAAAAACCCCAAAAAAAAAAAGGGGGGTTTTTTTGGGGGGGGCCCCGGGGTTTTTATTTTTTTCCCTTTTTTTTTTTTTTTTTTTGGGGTTAAAAACCCCCCTTTTTTTTTTTTTCCCCGGGGGTTTGGAAAGGGGGGTTTTTTGGGCCTTCAAAAAAAAGGGAAATTTTTTTGTTTTTTTCCCCCCAAAAAAATTTTTGGTTTTTTTTAAAAAATTAAAAAACCAAAATTTTCCCCCAAAGGGGGGAAAAATTTTTTTTTTTTTTTAAAAAAGGGAAAACCCCCCCAAAAACCCCCCCCAAATTTTTTTGGGGGGGGTTTGGGGGGGTTTTTTTTTTTTTGGGGGTTTGGAAAAATTTTTTCCCCGGTTTTTTTTTGGCCCCCCAAAAAATTTTAAAAACCCCCCAAAAAAAACCCCCCCCCCCCTTTTTTGGGGTTTTTTTTTTTTCGTGTATCCTAGGGATATGACAATATGAATATTAAATCCCCCTGCGTTGACCCCATTTGAAAAATTGCATCCTTTCCATAAATACAGAGCCTTAAAATGGGAGAATACCTTCCATGTCTCTAATGAAATTACCAGACCTTCTGAGGAGAAAAAAAAGACACAGATAATGTCGGTCAAATCGAATTATGTGGCAAAACCAATTAAAACAATAATAATGCCACATCAGTTTGTCGGTGATGTATTGGTTAAGTGAGTATCGCAGTCAAAGAGCATTAAGATCCCGGCATATGAGAGAGAGAGAGAGAGAGAGAGAGAGAGAGAGGAGAGAGAGAGAGAGAGAGAGAGAGAGAGAGAGAGAGAGAGAGAGAGAGAGAGAGAAGAGGAGTGGCAGCATATTAACCCTTCACAGAGAGGAGGGGGATCTGTCAAATAAACCCAAAGGAGATTGGATCTCTTAATCAATAGTGAGGCATATAAAACATGTCTCCCTGTGTCCTAGTCCTTCACCTTGAACTCTGAACTTTTATGGAACTATCAAGATGGTGTGAAAAGCCCCGGGGTAGTGACTGGAATGTAACCCCTAACTGGCTTAGTGAGAGAGCAGGGGTTTACCATTATACCGTTACAAAGCAAGGTGAGCTACTCTGTAATTTGTGTGAACATTTGCATCAAGCCCCACTCATTTATATATGGATGATCTTTATTCATAAATTCACTGAAAACACATTCTTACCTGGGGTTCCAGAGATCTCCACACTCAATGTGCGTTCAATGGTTTTGTTCTCAAACGGTGATCCCTTGTGGTCACTGAAAGACAAAAGAGATTGAACACACCGTTTTACTGTGACATTAATGAAGGCCTTTGTGATCTTAGAAATGGAAATGAGACAAAGCCTCATCTTGGTGCACATTGTTTGTCTTTTGATTTACACTACATATACAAAAGTATGTGGACACCCCTTCAAATTAGTGGATTCGGCTATTTCAGCCACACCCGTTGCTGACAGGTGTATAAAATCGAGCACACAGCCATGCAATCTCCATAGACAAACATAGGCAGTAGAATGGCCTTACTGAAGAGCTGTGACTTTCAACGTGGCACCATCATAGGATGCCACCTCAGTTTGTCAAATTTCTGCCCTGCTAGAGTTGCCCCGGTCAACTGTAAGTGCTATTATTGTGAAGTGGAAACGTCTAGGAGCAACAACGGCTCAGCCGCGAAGTGGTAGGCCACATAAGCTCACAGAACGAGACCGCAGAGTGCTGAAGTGCGTAACGTGTAAAAATTGTCTGTCCTCGGTTGCAACACTCACTAGAGAGTTCCAAACTGCCTCTGGAAGCAACGTCAGCACAATAACTGTTCGTCGGGAGCTTCATGAAATGAGTTTCCATGGCCGAGCAGTCACACACAAGCCTAAGATCACCCTGCGCAATGCCAAGCGTTGGCTGGAGTGGTGTAAAGCTCGCCGCCATTGGACTCTGGAGCAGTGGAAACGCGTTCTCTGGAGTGATGAATCACACTTCACCATCTGGCAGTCCGATGGACGAATCTGGGTTTGGCGGATGCCAGGAGAATGCTACCTGGCACAATGCAACAATGCCTACTGTAAAGTTTGGTGGAGGAGGAATAATGGTCTGGGGCTGTGTTTCATGGTTCGGGATAGGGCCCTTAGTTCCAGTGAAGGGAAATCTTAACGCTACAGTATACAATGACATTCTAGACAATTCTGTGCTTCCAACTTCTTGGCAACAGTTTGGGGAAGGCCCTTTCCTGTTTCAGCATGACAATGTCCCTGTGCACAAAGCGAGGTCCATACAGAAATGGTTTGTTGAAGAAATTGACTGGCCTACACAGAGCCCTGACCTCAACCCCATCAAACACCTTTGGGATGAATTGGAACGCCGACTATGAGCCAGGCGTAATCGGCCAACATCAGTGCCCGACCTCATTAATGCTCTTGTGGCTGAATGGAAGTCCCCGCAGCAATGTTCCAACATCTAGTGGAAAGCCTTTCCAGATGAGTGGAGGCTATTATAGCAGCAAAGGGGGGACCAACTCCATATTAATGCCCATGATTGTGTAATGAGATGTTCAATGAGCAGGTGTCCACATACTTTTGGTCATGTAGTGTATCTTTGTTATTTTGTTTTGTTTTGTCTGTTCTATGTAGAATGTTGAAAAACTCTTGCACTTACTTTGGAGACTCTGGGGTCAAAGAAAGTGGCAAGGTGGTTGGTTTGGCTGCAGAACACAAAGGAGCATGGGTAATTATTTAACTAGATAGATAACAAGTTGAGGCAGAAGAGATCAGGTCCACATCTGCAAATCAATTGGAGCATTAACAGCAGGTAACATTACAAATACCCAACCCAGTACGGTTAGCATAATGCTCTCTTGCTATTGGTTTACAAGAGCAAAAAAACAATAAGCTTTCTCTATTGACCCTGTCTGTATGTTATTTTGTGGTGGTGGGGGGGGGTTTGACTGTTCACTTTGTGAGGCAGGATGAAGTGATGGCATTGGCAAGTGTCCAGAGTACAGAGTTTCACACAGATATCCCACTCAATAAAAAAAACGAAAGATACGACGGCACAAACAGCACACATGGCAATGGGAGGCGGTGGTGGTAGTGGCTATGAAGTAATTGTCGCATGCATTTGGAACCAAAAGCAGAGGAAGAAAGGAGAGTCAAGGAAGCTTGCGCAGTTGCCTGAGGCTCTGGCTGTCTCCAACTGCAGTTAAAGAGTGTTGCTCAGTCAGACAACTAAGTCATTAGAGCATTGCCCTGCCCAGACTAGCTAGGTAGACATTCAGCACACTCAGCTTGATCCAGCCAGATAGTGGTTGACTTAACAGATGCCATAGTGTATCAAAACATAACAGGCTACTACTACCCCTCTCCCACCTCCCCGTTAAGTCAATCTTGAGGCAAGGGTCTGTACCAATTCTAAAGAATACCTTTTGAAATAGATGGTGCACCTAGCAATTAATTTTTTTGTTCTCAGAGTGATAGCGTCGAATTAGCATTGGGGTTAGTGTGTAGTCAAACTGGGAAGTGGTTAGAGCAGGAGAGGGAGAAGAGAGAGAGGGCGGGGATGCAGCGATGATTACCTAACAACGTGAGGCCCTGGTCATCGGGGTGCCTGCAGACTGCCTGCCTGTGTAGGTGCTGCTGCCCTTGTGTGACGGAGGGAGTGGGGTCTGGAATTCTACAATCTGGGAAGAGTGGGCTTGGCAGGCCCTGTGAGAGCGCCATGGGGCTGCCCATGGCATCATCATCGCGAACATCCTCCCCGAAACAGTCAGCCTGCTCCACCAGGCCAACCTCCAGCCAACCCAAGCCCAGCCCCAGCCCCAAATCTAGCCCCTGGTCTGGCTGGCTAACCCAGCTGCCTAGGCCTAAGCTTTCGGCCAACAGGGGGTCCGAATCAGGCTCCTTGGCCTGTCTGAGACCCCAGCTGCCGGGATTGATATTGACAGTCCCTCTGTGCTCCTTCTCCTCCACCTCAATAGCCTGGCTGGGACACTCATCCCTCTCCAGGACTCCAGAGCTTATTCTTGATGAACTGCTCTTGCGAGGCTGAGGGGTAGTAGCGGACGGGAGCAAGTGGGCCTGATAGCGGGCGGGCCTCTGCTTGGAGGTCAGCAGCTGGCTAAGCAATGGATGCCCCGGCTCCTCCTCTCTTTTCTTAATGGTCACGGTGATGTGCCTAGGCACCGCCGCACTGCGGTCATGCCTGCCCCAGCACTCACCCGCCTTACGGCAACGCCCACAGCTGCCTGTCTGACCTGTCTCTCTAGAAGGGAGAGAATAAGAATGCATGTACCTAATGAACCTAGCGACTGCCAGGCGCCCCGCGTCCACCGCAGGCTGCGGACCTGGCGGCCTTCCTTCTTCACTGGACGGCCTGCGCTCCAGTTTGGGGCAGGCATGGACGCTGTCGTTCCTACGTGCCTGGGGGACGGGAGCGGGTGCCGCCGCCGGTTCGGACTGTCCCTCAGTGCCACCAGCCCCATGAGCGCAACGACGCCACTTCCCAGCCCCCACACCAGCCACACTACACTCGCCAGCAGCCCGGCTCTCACCTCGCTGGTGATGTGGCTGCTGCTGCTGCGACACGACAGACGACGAGGACGACTTCTTCTTGGAGGTGATCGAGGAGGAGGAGGAGGAGAGGGAGGAGAAGGAGGTGGTGGAGGACGGTGAGGAAGAGGAGGAAGAGGCGCCAGGCAGGCCGCCCTTGTCTTTGCCGCCGCCCCCCCAGGCGCTCTTGGCTTCGCTGGCTTTGGTCTGGAGGAGGATGTCGTCGGTGGCAGTCAGGTACTTCAGCAGCTCGGTGCACGGGCGCCTCACTAGACGGCTCTGCTGCGGACAGCCCCCCCTCGGCTTGCTGTTCCAGGAGTTCTCCGTCTGCAGGGGCAGGTAGAAAGACAAAGAAAGAGAGGAAGAAAAAGAGAGAGAGTGAAGTTCAGCATAGCGGGTCGCCCAACTGTCTGGGAGGCGGTGGTAGGAGCGCCGCCCGCCCATCATCTTAATTGCATGGCCCCCGAGCGCCACCGCAGTAGCTCTGTCCTCAGGGAGCCTTCCAAGCACCGTGCTCCAGAAATGGATGTCAAAAGCACGGTTTAAAAATAGACTTTTCAGAGATGTGTAAGCTGTGTGTATGCACTGTTTACCAGACTACAATGCTACCAAGGCATTCCAAATTCAGGTTTTTTAAGCACTGAGGGACTTATATCAGGCGTATATTCATACGAACAAGGATGAGTAAACAATTATTGATGTGCTATGATACTAAATAAAAATATTCAAGTGCATTCATCATGTTCCAATAAAATGCGGCAAGCAGCAAAATACTGGAATCACCTACTTCATTTAATTGGCATTCCTGTGCCCATTTTAATTAAACCCACTGAAATACTACATTAATCTAAATGGAAACCCATTCGCTCTACAGAACAGCAATTGTAAGAAAGGGTAACAACATCGAGACTGTATGACTAGATATTTAGATCTTGTCATCAGCATCAATCTCACTGCAAGGAATGCTTGTCAACGTTTGATTTTCGACAGACACGTTACAAGGGAGGGGAGATAAGTGCTTTAGCTAATGAGACAACAGTCCCGATGCCTCGCCTGGAAAGCCGAACAGGCAATCAGGCTGTTTTCATTACAAGATGGCCCCCAGGAGGGTACAGTGGAACAGAAGTTTAACATCTTCCAAGGCCGGCAAAAAAAAATATATAAAAAAAAAAGAACAGAGATGGTAAACAAACATGGAGTGGCCCGCGGAAGCGGTGCCTTTGAAGTGAACCAATGGCACGACTGGGTAGCTACCTTGACAACAGCAGGTGGTGGTCTGATCCGGTGGTTGCTGGCTGCATGGTTTTGTGCCTTGTCACCTATGTATTGATTATAGCTGAGCTGGGAGTTCGCGGGTGCCAGAAGTAGCTTCTTCAGCTGCGAAAGACCCAAACAGAACAGGGAAGAAAGGGAGGAAGAAGAGCGAATAGAGAAAAAAGGGGTGAGAAGAGTTAGAGTTTAGCCAAACGCTGCCTCTGAAATGTCATAATTTCACTCAATTAAACAATCAGAGAGAGAATATCAATGCTTTTGTAAATGTGCGACTGAGGATGTTTGATTTATCTTGGTGTAGTTGTACAAAAACACAGAAACCTGATGAAGACAAATGCATTGCTGCCTATCAATACAGGCCTTTTACCTCTTTATTTACAGTGTTAACAGGACAAGTCAAAGAGGAAACCGGTCTTTCCATGGCAGGTGTTTTGGGGGACACAATGGCTGTGCTTTACTAGTGTGATTCACAAAACAATGGGGAGGGGTGGCATTAAAAACATGGACTATGACTGAACAAAATAAACTCCCTCAGGAAAGGCCTAATCGAAGAGGTTATGTAATTCTGTAGTGTGTTTCGTAACAAATACAATGGTCTTTTCTCCAATGATGGTTTAGTATGGCCCACTGACATTAGATGAGATGAGATGGATTTCATTTTCTCATTACATCCCTAGATTGATTTCCAGGCCCGTGGCATAGTGTCGACCATAACAGACCCACCGCTGTGCATGTATCGTTACATTGGCGCTGTTCGGACGCTACAATGCAATTAGCACCTCACAGCTAACACTGATCCATTTGATTTTCTCTTTCATCCAGGCATCTGCATCATGGTCAGCTCAGCACACAGATATGCACGGGGGGGGGGGGGGGGGGGGGTTGTTGCCAAAGCTGGAGGCAGGGTGTGCTGCGGGATGAGGGTGTATAGTCATGGATTGTGGGGAATTGGGTGGTGGTTGTGGTGGAGGTAGGGACAAAAGAGGTGTCGGTGGAACAGAGTCTTACCAGGGAGGGCTCCTCTGGTTCGGGGGTGCGCGGCGAGCCGTCGGGGGTGGAGGGACAGCTCTGGTCACTGGCATTGGTCACGTCCCCATCTGCCAGGGCCTCGAACGAAGGCAATCCGTCCTCGTCCACTGGGATGCTGTCCAGGGTTTCTGTAAGCACTGCCAGCAAATTGGCCTCATTTTCCTCATCTATCTTCTTAGGAGGGGAAGAGAAGAGAGAGAGAAAGGGAGGGAGAGAGATGGAAAGAGAGAGTGTGAGGGAGGGAGAAATAGAACATTTTAGTTTGGAGAAGTTGCTTTAGCAGTACGTCTTTTTTTGCAGAGGGGGTTGGGAGGGTGGGTGTTCACACGCTTCTATTGTTAATAGAGTATGACTGTTTTGCAGCAGAGTGGCTCTTTTCTGCAGTCCTATCTTTTTAAAAACAACATTCTCTCTCTGTGCGCATGAGAATCAGCCCTGTCACTCATATTTTAAGCATGCAGCTTACTGGACCAAAATAATATCTCCCCCAAGAAATCCATTAACAAGGCTGACACACAGCAAAGTATCTAGGGGGGAGGGAAGTTGAGTCGCCTCAATCCCCCAACTCTCCCCTCAGAAAAGGGAACGATCGACTTGTCGACAAGATGTTTGTGAGAAATCCTCCGATAAGGCGAATTACCGCCTGCTAATGCTAAATGAATCGGATATTTTTAAGTGTCGGGAAAAGACAACTGAAGTTCGTCGAGAAGCGTGTGTGGTGGGGGTTGACGTAAACATTTCAAAATAAAGTCTGTCTGTTTTCGCCTCTTGTTCCCCTCTGAAGGGGATGTTGTGAGTTTGCTGCAGCTGTTTCCCCATTTAAAGGGGTGACATAATGAGAGAGGGTGAGAACGAGACAGAGAGGGAGAGATGTTGGCTACTTAGCATCAACAGGGGAGGTGAGAGAGACAGAGGATTATGGAGGGGGAGACAATAGGCACTGGAAGTTCCAGGACCAAAACCCAGGGGAACCGGGGAAAAGTTAAACAGTGACGCTCCATGGCGAGCCCAATAAGAATAAGCACAAATCCCCACAAATCCCTTGGCAGGATAAGCATCGCTCGCCGATAGCATGCAGCGATCATTGCGCCAAGGGGGAAACATCCCTAAAGATAGGGGCGCTGCTTGCCTGCTCGTGCTTGGCTCCCACGTGCATACAATTACCCCGGGCCGCTTGCTCCCATTCAACCCCTCTGAGTTTCCTACGATTACACACCGCTGTGGATAGCTCTTGACAGGAGAAGCTTTGGAGCTTCCAAGATAGCGGACATTACATTTTTCCCCTCCATTTTTTTGCTTAGATGATACAGATAGCCTTAGCATTTGTGTTAGCCATCTGACAGTGAGGAGAATGTGAATCCAATGCTCATTCATATGATATCCATCCTCTAACAACATAAAAGTTACATATTTCACAGAGATAACAAAACGGTGACTGGGGCCACGCCAGCACTGGCAGTAAATGGTTTGCAGGAAATTGCTCCCGATGAGGTACCATGCTGTTTAATTACTTGCAAAGAGCTCCAATTCACTGTGCCGGAACCTATGTTGCCGTTCACAGTTTTCCGACATCCCACTTTATTAGCCGAGCGCTAAGCGGGTGGGTAATAACAATTGATACAGACAGAGCCTTTTCTTAGAACCGAACACGCGCTCCTCAGCTAGAAAATTGTAACTGGGATCATTTCAGATTATCTCAAACGAGGCTTTAATGGAGAACCATCTGTTTGGATTAAACTTGAACAACTTTTCACAGAAGGCTTGGGTCACACTTTTTTTTTTAAACCTCTTTCCAGTCTCAAGCCTTTTCCAGTCTATATATGCAGCCGTTTTGGCAGTGAAATCAAGACCACCATCTTACCTAGTGCCAGTAAAAGTTTAAAAGGCCACTGAGCTTCATCGGCAGGGAGGGGTCCCAGGAATCTTTTGAGTTTCACTCGGGATACTACACAACCTAGGCAAATCCAGACCTGGGTTCAAATACATGTGTATTTGAGTATCTGGTATTTCAACAACAACAACAAAATCTGTGTATTTGAGTATTTTCAAATAGACAGCCCAAAACAAGTACTTTTATTTGAGTTTTTGAATGGTTATTTGTAAAAACCAAATTGTGTACCAAATTGTATTTGAGAGTATTTTCAAACACTTATTTCAAATACCTGGGTGAAATGCATGCGAGTGTATTTGAGATAGTGTATTTTCAAATACTTTCCAAGTGTATTTCCAAATACATTAAAATATTGAACTACATGTCTTTTCAAATAAAATATATCTGAATACTTACTTCAAATGTCTGTGAAAGTATTTGAGATATTTGAAATAGTATTTGAACCCAGGTCTGCTGTTTGAAAAAAAGAGTTTGAAGAACTCTTACGAAAGTCTAGAGGACTGTAATGCTGTGAAAGGGACACTTGTAAAAGCTCAAGTCGTGACGGTCATGCTATAGGCCTTGCTAAAGCTCAGGCTGGTGAGAGTCCCAGGCCAGTCAGAGGATTTTCAGGGGCTGGGGAAAAAGAAGAGACCTGAGTAAGTGGTTCTCCTCTTGAGAGAGCCCCTGTCCAGCAAAGCCCAGCTTTGCCATGCCAGCTTAAGACCATCCTCACGCCGCTTCACTAGACCAAAGTCAATCCACCACCTCTTGAGTCTTCACCACCGAAAAGCACCCACGTGGGAGAAATCCCTCACTTGGACTGAGTGGTTTGAGATATGCAACCCCAAAGGGGAAGGACGTCAGAGCTAACCTGGCAACCCACTGACGGCTGCGTCCACTTTTATCGATTACCACAGCAGCTGTCAGAGACTGAAAAGGGCGTGGCAAAATAACAAATAAATGACCTCGGTGGGAGCACCATCTCTTCTATCCCGGTTAATGGACCTCACCCAATTAAAGAGATAATAACCATTCAAGGCTACATGTAGGATCACAATATATTAACCAGCTTCAATTCTAAAGGGTGCCATTCATGGCTGTTTTACTCCAAGCACTTCAATTAGCCATAAAGCATGCTGGCAAGTGCCGGTAGGGCCGTTCCATGTTTCTCCCCCATCCCTCCTACCCGCTTATCCCCCTGCCTCACTTTGGAGAAAAGAAAGAAGCACACCAGTCGTTCATTATCAGGTGAGGTCCTTTGTTATCAGACAGGCTGTCTTTGAAATCGTCCTTGCTTTAACTCTTTTATTGAGTTCCGCCGAGCCATTGTGTTCCAGAGATATAATTCATGCCCCTGATAACAGGGGGTGTGTGTTTTTTTTGTAAATACACACTTTTGAAGTCTGAGGCAAAAAGCCAAATTAAAACAACTAATTGCTTCTTGAAGATTTGAAGCCTCTGAGCAACGCGCCAGGGATCAAATTTCAAGTAGGCATTTGGCAATGCATCTTTAAATCTTTGAAGGACGGGAATAAAAAACCCACTATAAAAAAGTTTCTGCAATTACAAACCTGACCATTTAATAAGAAATAGATTAATCTCATATACACAAGTTTTGCACTTCTGTTAACTTAAAATGAAAGACAGAAACTGTTACAACAGCCACTCAGGGAGAAGAAGAAAAACCCTCTCATTCTAAATGAGTCATCTGGTACTGAAAGTATGGTTTAGACTCTCTCTGCAAATACAGGGAGGAACAAACCAAAGAAACCAGTCCACTCAGACAGAAAACATTTCTTAATAAATTGGCCGGTGAATTGATTGGGGTTAAATCAATGCCTTAACAATTTAATTGTGCTGCTTCGTCTAGAGATACACTGTGTACAACTCAATATTAGGAAGGTCTTGCTAATGTTTTGTACACTCAGTGTATATTTCTCTCTCACTCACAATTTCAAAGGTATTCCCTCGGACGATGTTAAACGAGTAGCCAGACCTAATCACAGCACAATCAGAAACGGGGGGGGGTGGACGAGGGGGAGGTGGAGAGGGGAGTCACCTGAATGTCTCAACGCTGCCAAGAAAGCTGCATTAGATTTTATTTCGATTTGATAAACAAATAATGTAATTCTGTATTATTGCCCCAGATTTCAGAGGACATGAATTAAAGTCAGCCGCCGCTGAGGCGTTAGTCGAGCTGACACGAAGGCTGGTCACACAGGCAGGAGAGGGGGGAGGGAAGGGGAGAAGGGGTAGGAGAGGGGGAGGGACGGGGAGAATGGGTGAGGAGGTTTAGGGGGGATGGAAGGGGGGCGAGGCGGGCGGAGAGTGGGGAGGGAAGGAGGGAGAGGGGGAAGAGACGCTGTTTCTTTCTTCTGAGTGGGTGAGGGGGGAGGAGAGTGGGGAGGAAGGGAAGAGGGGGGAGGAGTGGGGAGAGTGGCGCTTTGGGAGAGTGGGGCCGGGAAGAGGGGGGGTGGGGAGTGGGGAGGGAAGGTGGGGGGGGGGAGCGTGAGGGAAGTGAGGGGAGGGGGAAGAGTGGGGAGGGCAAGGGGAGAGGAGGGGGGGAGGAAGGGCGGAGGGAGGAGTGGGGAGGGAAGGGGGAGAGGGGGGAGGAGAGTGGGGAGGGAAGGGGGGAGAGGGGGAGGAGAGTGGGGAGGGAAGGAGGGAGGGGGGGAGGTGAGTGGGGAGGAAGGAGGGAGAGGGGGAGGAGAGGTACGGTGCAGCATGATGCACAGCGGAGACAAATCGTGCAGCCACCAGAGACGCCCGGTCATTTACCACAAATTTACTGGGAGTGAGAGAGAAGACGATTATAACCTATAGGAGTGACACAATACAAAACAGTGCTGTATAGATCGGGTGTGTGTGTGTGTGCATATACGTGTGTGTGTCCACGTGCCTGTATCTATGCGTGTGACTGGCTGCACTGTCCATCTCAGTTTTTACAAGACATAAATCTACATGTTAAAACTGTCAAATTGATCAAGGCCATGATTGGCCCGGTAACGGATGCCAGCGCTGAAGGCTGGTCTCATTTTACCATCTGGCTATGGGAGTCAACAGTGAGTCGGATTATTCAAAGCCCATTTTCCAAGCAAACGATCCTACGGGCTATGAGAAACTGGGGTCTGCTTGCTTTGGACATATGGCTCACAGCGTGTCATCAGTCAACACCTTAAAATGGTGGTGAGCCAGGACAAGTCTATCGCCCCTGCTCCACGCACACACAAAGACATGCACGCACACACACACAAGCGCACACAAAAGCGCGCACACACACACCGCCCATTTCCCCAGCAATAAATGTCTAATTCCTTGAGCGTCTGGGTTCCTCTATGAACACAGATAAGAGTGGTCAACAGCAGCACCGTGGGTCGTCCAGACCATTACTTTCTGAACACAGATAAGAGTGATCAACAGCAGCACTGTGGGTCATCCAGACCATTACTCTCTGAATACAGATAAGAGTGATCAACAGCAGCACTGTGGGTCATCCAGACCATTACTCTCTGAATACAGATGAGTGGTCAACAGCAGCACCGTGGGTCGTCCAGACCATTATTTTCTGAACACAGATAAGAGTGGTCAACAGCAGCACTGTGGGTCGTCCAGACCATTATTTTCTGAACACAGATAAGAGTGGTCAACAGCAGCACCGTGGGTCATCCAGACCTTATTTTCTGAACACAGATAAGAGTGGTCAACAGCAGCACCGTGGGTCATCCAGACCATTACTTTCTGAACACAGATAAGAGTGGTCAACAGCAGCACCGTGGGTCGTCCAGACCATTACTTTCTGAACACAGCTAAGAGTGGTCACCAGCAGCACTGTGGGTCGTCCAGACCATTACTCTCTGAATACAGATGAGTGGTCAACAGCAGCACTGTGGGTCGTCCAGACCATTACTCTCTGAATACAGATGAGTGGTCAACAGCAGCACCGTGTGTCGTCCAGTACATTACTCTCTGAATACAGATGAGTGGTCAACAGCAGCACCGTGGGTCGTCCAGACCATTACTCTCTGAATACAGATGAGTGGTCAACAGCAGCACCGTGGGTCGTCCAGACCATTACTCTCCCTGTTGAGCTACACTCATCTCCATATCTGCCTAAGCTCCTAGGAATTTACTACTAGAGATCCTGTAGTATTAGTATAACCATTGACCGTTTGATCCAAACCAGAACTTTGGCCCACACACGGTTTCTCAGTTGCATCACATTAAGGAGTGACGTCAAAGACAGGATATCACTGTCAGATGTCACTCCCATTGACAACCAGTGTGAATTTTCTACAGTGGAAACTACATTCCGACCTGTCGATGAAGCCTCGGACTGTGTGAGGGATAGGTGTTAGAGCGAGGGAGTGCTGATGTGTGTCTTCTGGGAACCATTTAAACCGTTAGAGCGCTATCAGATGAGAACAGAGAGAGAGAGACAGAGAGGGAGGAAGAGAGGGAGAAAATCCTCTTGCGACCAATTCTCTGTCGAAGACCGTCAAACCTGACAGCTCGCTCTGATTCCGAGAGAAACCTAGACGTGTTTCCAAGAAAACGTATCTCTACTCTACTTTGTAAAATGTTGTTGGACAGTCTTTGACCGACAGCTCCAGCTCTCCTGCCACAATTCCTGACCAAAACCCTGATGCAAAACAAGCCCAGGTCTCAGAAATCTGCTGACGCCACCTCGTCCTACGGCCATTTTTAGACTTCAGCCTTGCAAATTGTACAGTACTGTTGTACCGCGGGGTCAAAAGTCAGGAGAGAGTCAGCAAAAACTACACCACCACCACAACAACATCATCAGCAGCCATGAAACAAGATGTAATCCTTGGTCAGGATTCTCTAAGCAGGTGTACACATGACAGAAACACACAAACACAACAGCTGGTTCTCGAACGAGAATGGACTGTTGGACACCAACAAACGAAGAGAAGGATGGTGATACACTTCCAGCAAAGGGGAACAGAAGGCCTAAAGCAACACTCTACTCCCCCCCCAGGAGGTTTGGACTAGTATGCCCACCACCACTGCTGACGACAACTGGAACTCTCCAGGTACTAGAATCACTAGTCTGAGGAGAGGCTTTTAGTCACGAGTGTTACGGGCTCAGGAGAGCCATGCGATCACCAAACAGCTGAAGCCAAACCACAAGGGGGGTTTATATTAACAGTGTGAGCAGGATAATCTATGTCTAAGGCCTAACGCAGAACTGCTTCTGGTTATTTCTCTCTTTACAACAGATTTTTTTTTGTTATTTTTACTCCAACGTAATTATACACCATAACAATGTATGGATGCTCTTTCGTGTGGTGGTTTGGGTGTTTTTTTTTGTTGTAATAGCCAGGTCGACGCAAGAAATGAAGGTGCTTGCGTTCCTACTTAGGTGAAATGGGAATTCTGATACAAGTGCTTTGCTTTCATCAAAAAGTCCACTAGATATACAGGGAGTGAGTTGGGGAATATTTTCCGGCCTTTTTTCTCATAACACGCAAATAGCTGTTTGCTTAAGTAGGCAGCTATGAATCTGCAGTGCTAAGCATCCCTCGGTACATGTCGGCGCGTAGATGATGATGGTCGGTAGACGGAGAGAGATGAGTGGAGGAGGGCTGCTCTGACATCAATCTAGTTAAACGGACATTGTCACATTTCCTCCGCGCAAGTCGGTAACCGTTACCGTCAGCCTTGCGTGTAACAAACAAAAGAAAACCATCACATATTGGGGGTGATGGGTGGGGGGGTTAAGGTGGATGGTTTTTTGTTGTTACATTTGCAAGGAGAGAGAGCAGAATGGTCAAGGATAATATCCACTGCCCCCCTCCATCCCTCCCTCTCCTGACCTTTCAGACCCTGCCAAGCTCATCAACGGCTGCAGGCCTTTTCATTTGTCACAGCATTATCAGAGGAGGATGGAGAGAGCAAGGAGAGAGCAAGGATGGGGTGGACAGATACTGTATCACACAGTAGTGTTGTGTACCGGGATACAAACAGGAAAATATTTGTATGCAGGGAAGCACACTTCTGCGTCTAATGTGTGTGTGTGTGCGTGTTTCTATATATGCTTGGGTGTGTGTCTATGCTTGTTGGGGAGGGTATGGACCAAATATATGTATGGTTGAAACCACATAAATCTTTTTGGAAAATTCAGCCAATTTGATTATGCGGCAAAAGGTCACCCTATTCAATTGACACTCTATGCAGAGTACAATACAGAGGGTTGATAACACCTGAAAGCAAATGATCTTATCAAGCTTACAGACCTCAGCACTTACCTACTGCATTAAAGCTATTTGCTGATTACTAAATAAACGCATTATCTTCTACCTTGATTTCTGAGCATGGATGTGTGTGTTTTCCCCCTTTCTTTTCAGGTTGGGGTCCTGCAGCGGGTAACCCTGGTCCTGCAGCGGGTAACCCTGGTCCTGCAGCGGGTAACCCTGGTCCTGCAGCGGGTAACCCTGGTCCGTGCCTTGACTTTGTGAGCTATGGAGGTGGGATGGAGGGAGTTCGAGCTAGAACTTTTTGAAAATGGATTCTTCTGGAAAGAGTTGATTGTCGCGACAGCTAGATAATCAGGTCAACAGCACCATCAGAGGACACACACTTTATTACCTGAATGTGCTATTACACAGTTTCATAACAAATGTGTGTTCTTCCTGCCAGTGAGAATGCACACGCTAATCTCCCATTAACACAGCACACACACACACCATGAGAATGTCCGTGCCACAGCTTTCTCCTTAGCCTACTGTCTGTCAGTGGTGCTTGTCAAGCCATGTGAGTCATCCCACTCACTCAAGCACAAGGAGTTACTTCAAGAGCTTCTTCAACTATTTAAAGCCCTGCCTGAGCCCAAACGTTCAAATATCGAAAAACACAAGCTTGAACCATTAGCATGCAGCTCAATTGATCTGAATGTAGTTCTGGAATGACCAGGGTTGTGACGGAGTTTGATTTCCACATCAAAAGCCTAGAAGAAGAAACAATGCAAAACAACAAACAAGACCAACTACTTTTTAAGAGACTGAACAGACTAACTAAATCTGGTCTATAAAGCCAATTGTACATTTCCAGTGCAGACAAATCTTTTTTCTCTTCAATTCCATCCTATTCTCTGGAGTAGGGGGCAGGTGGCTATAGGCTAGTGATAAGCGCTAGTGCAGAAATGCTAGCTGCAGTAAGGGGTGGCTGGGCAGGGCTGTGGGCTGCACACCTCTGATCGATATGCCTCTTCTGGAGAGTGGAAGTGGAGGATCACACAGGACTGATAGCGCTTCACATCTAAGCACGGACCCATGGAGAGGCCGCCGCGCGCCGGCGGGCGGGAAGGCAGGCGCGAGCGCGCGGGCCCGCGCGCGACCCGGGGCGCGCGCGCGCGACCCGAGAGCGCGCGACGCGGACTTTCGGCGCGCTCGCGCGCAGACCCCGAGGGCGGGAGCGGCGGCGCGCGGACCCCGAGGGGGCGCGCGCGCGCCCGAGGGCGACGCGCGCCGGCGCGACACGAGAGCGCGCGCGCGCGCGCGCGCGAGGGGCGCGCGCGCGCGCGACCCGAACGAGGAGCGCGCGCGCGGACCGCGGCGACCCCGGAGGGCGGCGGCGGCGGCGCGCGCGACCCCGGGGGGGCGCGCGCGAGCGCGGGAAACCCCAGGGCGGCGGCGCGCGCGGAACCAGGCGCGCGGGGGCCGACGCCCCCGCGCCCGCCTCGACCCCGAGGGCGCCGCGGCGAGCGCGCGCGCGCGAACCCCGAGGGCGCGCCGCGCGCGCGCGCGACCCCGGGGCGCGCGCCCGGTCCGCCGCGCGACCCCATGGCCTCCCCCCTGGCCCTCGGCTCTACCCCATTCTCCATGCTGTCCCTCTCTACCCCAGTTCTCCTCTCTGCCCCCGACCCCATCGCGCCGGCCCGGGCACCCAACCGCCCCCCCGACTACGCTTCCCCTATCTCTCTCCGACCTTCTCTGGGCCTGAACCCTAGTGCTCGCCCCCCCACCACCGATCTCTTGTGCACTCATCTACCCTAAGTTCTCTCTTCTACCCATTCTTACCCTATTCTCGGGGTCTGCGTTCTCTGTCTCTCTCTGCTTTTCTCATCTCCTCTCTCCCTCTCTATCCCGCCTGATCGATATTGCCCAGGGTGAATGGTCCCCTGATCCCCTTTTACTCTCTCTCTCTTCCCTCTCCCCCTATTTCTCTGTTTTGTCTTCTTCCTTTGTCTCTTCTCTCTTTTCCCTCTTCTCTCTCCCTATTACCCTTACGGTATCCTCTTCTGAGGTAAGGGGTCACCGGCTGTCCTTTTCCTCAAATCTAACCCTGTTTAACCCCTACCCCTTCTTCTTCTTTAGCCTTTTCTCTTCGACTTCCTCTTCTACCCAATCCCCCTAACCCAGGGACCATTCCGAACCGGAGGGGCCGCCTCGGTCCTCCCTCACCCCGATGGCCCCTACAAAAACCAACTAAGGTAAATGAGCTCGCGGTCCCTAGCGCCGGTTCTCTCAATTTCCTCTCACCCCTAAGTCCCCAAACATAACCCCGGACCCAATCGCACCTCTCACCCATTTCTCTTCTGCCCCTATAACATTTCACTTCTCTAATGCCCTTCACAACCACCATATTGCTCAATCTCTGGACCATACTAACCCATTTCTATCTTCTTCTTTTACCACCATTTCTTCTCTCCCCTCTTTTAAAACCTATTTTATCTATATTGTCCCTTCTCTACCCTGTTTCTTACTGTATTCTCTCTCTTACCTTTCCCCTATTTCTATTTTTCTGTCTTTTTATTTAATTCTTTTTGGGTCCTCTCTTCCCTTTTTTCATCTCTCTCTTACACCTATTTCTCTCTTCCCTCTCGACCCATTTCTCTTATCTCTCCCCCTTCTCTACCCTATTTCTCTCTCTCTGTCCTCTCTCTACCCTATTTCTCTGTCGTCGTCTGTCGTCTGTCCCTCTCTCTTCTCTCTCTCTCCCTTCTTACCCATCTTGATCGATATTGCCTCTTCTGGAGAGTGGAAGTGGAGGATCACACAGGACTGATAGCGCTTCAATCTAATCACTGAACCATGGACTGAAGGCTCCTCTTTTCTTTCTTTCGTTACTTGTTCTTCTTTTCCTTTATAAAGAAAACAAAACAAAAAAAAACCCAACCCAGGTCACGGCCCCAACAACCCTCCCACACACCATTGCAGTATATAGAGCGACACAATAGTTCGGAAGCGAGCGACATACAAGGCGCGCGCGGAGCGACACGGGGAACAGGAGAGAGAGAGAGGGGCTCTCCTCCGTCCTCTCTATCAGAGCGCTCGATCTATCCGTCCCTTCTCTAACCCGATTGGCTCTCTAGATTCCATAGTCTGCCAACTAGAGACAACAAGGTCGCTCTCTTGAATCTCTGCTAACAACTATGTATATAGGCGTACCCAATCTCCCTCTACCACTAGGAGATCTATATGTCCTCTCCTACCCTAGGAGAGATCTCTGTCCCTCTCTCTACCCCTATTTATCTCTCTTTCCTCTCTCTACCCCCATTTCTCTCTTGTCCTTAGATACCCCTATTTATCTCTCTCTGTCCCTCTCTCTACCCCTAGTTCTCTCTCTGTCCCTCTCTCTCTCTCTCTCTGTCCCTCTCTCTACCCCTATTTCTCTCTCTCTCTCTGTTCCTCTCTCTCCACCTAGTCCATCTCTCCTGTCCTCTATCTCACCATTTCATCTCTCTCTCTACCCCTATTTCTCTCTGTCCCTCTCTCTACCCCTATTTCTCTCTCTCTCTCTCTTTCCATATCTCTCTCTCCGTGCCCATTGCGTAAGTGTGTGTGTGTGTGTGTGAAAGTATACAGTATTAAATAATACAGGAAGGTTTGGCTTGCTGTTTGGGTTTCTGTGTGTGTGTGTGTGTGTGTGTGGCTGGGGGGGGGCCAGGTTAAAGAGAAGTAGTCCTGAAAGGCTCTTAGTAGAGATTACCCCCTCGCACTAAAACTAGCCACCCACACAAACAGACACGCACCCATTCATCACATGCAAATGGAACCATCTGATATTTTTCTGAGTTGTCTCACTTGTGCATGCCCAGGCGCACATACACTGACACACCACACACACTCTAGCTACTGGTATAGCTTGAGGAAGTGTCAGTGTCTATTTAGAGCAGCAACCGCCTGCCAACTTCACTCCTTAGTCTCACTCTTAGAACAACACACACACACACACACACACACACACACACTACAACCACAAAGGAAACACAACCAATCCTAATCAGAGACAATAAACCAGCTATGGGAGCTTGACTCCAGTGGCTGGCGAACAGTGTCTACTTCGACGGAACTGCGAGGTGGATGTGACCCCTTCATGGTTAACCTTTACCCCCATGTCCTCTTTAGGGCCTTCGAGAGGGGGACAGGCAGGACGGTAGATCCCATTGTGGGTCGGCAGCCTTTTATATGGTGTCGTCAGATGGCACAGTCAGTGGGTTTTCCATCCAGGCAGAGTACAGCCAGTTCAGCTTTTTATTATTAGACACACAGGCCCCAAAACATTAGACAGACACACACACACACACACACACACACTCTACACACAGACACTCACATTCTCTATCAAACACTTGATAGTCATAACCACACACTGCACACATACACACACAAATGCAGACCAGCCCACACACACCCATTATAAAACTCTTGCGTATGTGTGTTTTTGTGTGTCTGCATACGTGCCTGTGTGCAGGTGTCTTATTAACCAGACGAAATCAGCCAATACGTTTGAGGAGACTAAGGTGAGGCACTTACTTGATCCAACCCAGCCCTCAATCAGCAGTCTCTCTTCTGTGAGACAGACAAACAGCCAGTCAGCCAGCCAGCCAGTCAGCCAGTCAGCCAGTCAGCCAAGCAAACACCAAAAGATGTTCCCACTTGCTCTTTTCCAAAACATGCCCTGCAGGGACAATTTTCTGGGCTGTGAGTGCTTGCCTTATTCCCCTCTCTCGCCTCGCTCCCTCATTCCCTTTCCCCTCCTCGTCACCATCCCTCCATCCCTCAGTCTGAGGGGAGAAGAGTCTGCGGGTCAATCCATTTGTTTATGCCCACTGGATGTAAAACTTTCTAACAGGGCTGTTTGCGGACGGCCTTTGGGTTTGTCTGTGTCCGTGTGAGTAGGAGAGCTAGTGGACTGTTGTACCAGGGAGGGAGAGATCGAGAGAGAGAGAGAAGGATAGAGAGAGAAGGACAGAGGGAGAAGGAGAAAGAGGGAGAGTATCTCTTTGCTGTGGAGTGAATCTGACAGACGCTTGGAGATAACACTCGGACTCAACCGTCCGTGTGTGTCGTGTGTGTGTGTCGGTGTGTGTGCGTGTGTTGGTTAGGGCTGTGGCGGTCAGACGGTGATTGTCAAGCAAATAACTGTTGGTCTCACGGTAATTTACTGTTAATTAACATAAACACATTTAGCATCTCCTGGCTTCCACACATAGCCTCCAAGCCACTGATGCAGACCTTTGGAACATCTACATTTAAAAAAGTCTAATAAAACCATGTAATATAGCCTACACCATGACAATAAATCCATTATTTTTTTAGGCAGGTCTAAAGAAACATGATATGAAGAAAATGTAGTCTATTTCAGAAGAAAAGAATAGCATACTCTGAGTTGTCCTTATGTTAGCTCTTGATCTGACTATGCCATACGGCTGTGGGCTATACTAGTTCATTTAGCAGACAAGATTTGCTTAGAATTCCGTGGCATTATTTTATATTATTTTATAGTATGAAGAATACAATTGAACAAAGCTGAATAAAATAGAAAGGATATTTTCTCCAAACGATTTGAGGGAGTGCGCACATGCGGCTATTCTGTGTTGAGCGGTTAACAAAGAAATAGGTATTCCTATATGCTTAATTTAGAGTTATTAATGTAACTTTAGTTGTTCTACAGACGCTGGGCTATATGTTTAGATTTTTTTATACATTGTAAGGCTGCATG